GGCCCCAAAATACCATACTATAGAAGGAATTGTGGGTTCTAATTCCCTAATGGTTGTATATGTGGACCCTCTAGGTACTTTTTCTCTATATTAAATCCCTATAATCATGGAGCCAGGCGGTTGGCCTCATCGCGCAGGAAGCTGGCGAGTTCAAAGGTGCACCAGGTCCTTTAGGGAATATTGCTAAGGGTTTAGGGTTTCTAGGGTCGAGGGTTTAGGGTTTAGGGTTGAGGGTTTACAGGGGGGCTTCGAGGTTTTGGGTTTACGGTTTAGGAGCTCGGGCGAAAAAAAGGTTTAGGGAGCAGCAGGAATCTGTATATAGCTATGGGGCATAGTATGCGGACTACATGGTCATATAGGGGGTATATAAACACGAAAAAAATCTTCTGAAAGGTCATGGAATTAGGGGTCCCTTCAGTGAGTGTCTCCGAGCAAGTCTTGGTCCTTGAAAAATAGCGCGGCGACCAGAGGACAATGAGCTTGCCTGATCTCGCCAGGATTCCTGGGTTAATGTCGCAGAAATTTACTCTTTATGCTCCTAAAACCCAAGGACCCTAGAGTTAAAGAACCCAATATGGGTACTGTGAAGCCAGAAGTCCTCCCAAGGACAGAATTCCTTGCCGTTTTAAACGGTCATCGTGCTGAGCAATGCACAACCTGTCCAGAAAAACGGAAACTTCGGGGCGCTTTAGCGCCAGGCGAATGCGCTGCCAGAAGCAAAGAACCACATAAAATGAGCAAGAAATGCCAGCACTTGCAACGGGCCATCCACCTGGGTGTAGGGTTTGGGGTTTAGAGCTACTTACGGGATTGGGGTTTGGGATCTAGGACCACGGAAGAGGAAACAAAAGGGGCAGCATTTGCAATATGTTCCGCACTGTCGCAAAACCAAGTTTCAAACCACAATAAATGATCATATTCAGCGTCGGAATAGGAATACCCAACTTGAAAAACACGACGTGCAACTCCCGACCCAAAACCAGACCTTAACTCAACAGGATAAAATTGGCACCCCTAGGGTTGTAACCCTGAACACGTTGAAGCCATAAAAAGGAAACCTCTTGGGGGTACAGCCGGAAGCGCTACCCCTTTATTCACCTGCACCCCAAGCACCTGGAAGCAAGTCGAAAGCCAACAGCCCACTTGTCACCAGCGCAATGGTAAAGGAGGTGACAGCTGCTGGCAGAGCATTAAATATCCTCCGGTGGATTTCTGATAACGTGGTTTAGGCTAGACGGTTCAAGGTCTATATCTCTCAACAGACACCACAGGCTAGTTAACAATCTAGGGTTTTGGGTTTAAATCCTGAACTTCAGGTGTGTCAAAACCTTTACCTCAGCCTGAATTTGTTTTAGGGTTTTATTTTTAGGGTTTTGGGTAATATGGCCTGTCGTTAACCGCAAGTGATCGATAGGGCGAAAGTTCAACAGTAAAGAATCTCATTCTACCAGTTCGGAAACCAAACATGCCTGTAGATTTCTATTGGGAAGACATGTGCACATGCATGTGCAACGTGCAGTGTCCAAACCCTAAGCCCTAACCCAACAGAAACGAAAGCTAGCGTTCTTCAATCTTACAGCCGAGCCCTATAGGTCCCAAAATGAACTATAGTCCCCTAAGGGTCCAAGGACCCAAATATTAAGGTTGTAGGGCCAAAATACCATAACATTGATGGTATTTGGGCCCTGAAACCTTGTTATTTGGGTCCTTGGACCCTGAGGGTTCCACTGCAGAAGAGGGTCAATAACAGGGCACATGCCTTGGATGGCCGGGGCGTCTTCCAATCCTTCGGCAAATTTTGACGTCTTTAACCAGGACTTTCCTTGTACCCTTAATTGGGGATATATGGTCCCTCATAGTGGGTACTTAGGCCCTAATAGAGGGTGGGAGGAGGGTCTAGGAATGTGCATTTGTGAGAACTACTTGTGACATGTTACTTGCAGGACTGAAGGTTTCCTGCAGAGTTGTATGACTTGTAGGTTTACTTCAAAGGTTTTGGGGCTTCAGGTTATGGAGCAGCACCGGAGCTTCATACAAACTACTAGGGTTGACCTTTGTGGGGCTCCTTGTCTTGCAATGAACTCAAAATGCAGTTCAAAACTATGCGCGCCAGGATTCGAGATGACATTCTCCATTTCTATTGTGACAGCTAAGTCCAGTCTGCATGATCATGCTGGTCCTTGGAAAGAAAATTTAGGACGATGTATATCGATGTATGATATATACCAAGCTTGTAAGTATTCTTGCTTCTTCTTCCGCATGTAGTACTCAAAGTTCCGGCCATACCTACCTTCAATCCTGACACAACGTCTTATCTTGGGTCTTTTGGCGGAGGAACGGAAAAAAGAAGCTTGGCGTCACGTGACCATTGACTGCGGATGATGCTTGTTCAGAAGCAACGAAGGCCCCAAATCCCAAAACCGTAAACCTAAACCCAACCAGAAGAACAGCAATAAAAGGCCCCTTGACCCTGAAGGGTGGACATATGAGAAATATGCTTCATCGGGCTTTTTCAAGCAAGGAAGCTGTCGATGTGGGATTCGGGATCAAAGCTTGACGTCGATGGCAGCAACTACGTGTAGTAGTCGTCCCCACCGTCCCACACACGCAATGCAGATTAAGCAGAAGTAACTCCCCTCAATTTCTGCACGCAACCCTGCTGGCCTCCTAATGAATGACCTAAATGTCATGAGTAATGTGGGTTTGTCTCGCAGTCGCACGGCGCTTGAGGCAGTTTCGAGGCTACAAGCGCTGCAAGATCTCGGGATCTCCCCTTGCCAAAACCAGAAGAAGTGTACAAGCTCAGAACTTTAAGCCATTCTAGTCTCCAAAGGACTTTCTTTTTTTCGGTAATGGCTGTTGAATGCAATGGGGTGATGAATTTGATACTGTGGGACTCCAAATTCTTAGAAATAGCTATTATGCTAGTTGCAGGAGGTTTCCCAAAGCGTCTCTCGAGTGTTGGGCATATAGCCAGGCCATAACTTAAAAAGCAAGAGAACAATCTTTGGGTTGTACGGACTTATTCTGGGACTTTTGAAGCGTTGTTCACCTGGGCCATCTAATCACATGCGCATGCAAACCTCTTCCTGCAAGCATGTCAAAACATGGGGCGCCCGATTTTCAGATCATATAAGGCAGCCAGTTATTTCGCAATACCTTGAGACATTGCCAGTGCAATGGGTTCGGAAAGGAACGTCTGACATCTGACTTAGCCATCACGTTGCTCACGAAAACAGACCTTTTTGGAAACAACTAACCCTGGGGCTCCAGTTACCTGAATAGTAGGTTACTGGGCTATGTAACTATAGGATATATAGAACCCAGTTCCCATTATTTAGGTAACTGGGAGCCCTAGGGTAACTGGTTGAGCTTCAGAGGCCTTGTTCTTCGCTGCAGCCGTCTCCATATCACCACGGGCCTTGCAGGCTTAGATCCACTCACACAGGTGTCGAACAACTGAGGACTGTGTAAGAATGATACAAGGCTACAAGGATTGCGATTTAAGCCCCTCCCCCTGATACTACCCTACTCATGAACATTCCCAATTATGTACCGCTATCTGATAAGGGGAATATTCATTATGATTGAGGGGCGTAGGTGGGGCAATCTATCGGGGTTTAGTATCAGGGGAGTGCGCTACTTTCCTGAGCCTCGGGTGTCTGCGAGATGACAGACTGAATTTGTAACTTTACCTGTCCTTGCTGGGGTCTAGTAGGGAATGAGGGACTATCTAATATAAGCCCTATCTAAATTCCAATATAATCCCTTCATAATCCCTATATAATACCTATGTACGATATTCCCAATTTTCCCTACTCACCTCAGTAAGGCTAACTGTCTGGAAGCCGTGCCTGCGCGCCAGCGTGTCCGAACTGGACCTGCGGCTTCACAAGCATGGGTCAGGCTGCTGGGGGTATAGTGTATAAGAGTACCCGAAGACCATGGATTCATATTTGAAGGAAATTGGGCCCGAAATCTACATAATGAGAATTCTTTACGTAACCGTGAGCCCCAGAGGTAGAGCTTTGGGGACTAGTAAATTATATGTAGGTGGTATAGAAGGGCCAATAGGCCGCCAGGAAAGGTGGAAGTTGTTTCCAGGATTTCCGCGGTCAGAGCTCCACCCTAAGGGTCCATGTACCCAATAATTTGGGTACTTAGGGCTTTGGTAGTAGTAATCATAGTGCATGTTCTTGGGTAAGTATATGATTATTGGTACTTGGACCCTTAGGGCCATGCCTTGCAAGCACAGGGGCCAAGGCTTAGCAGGTGGCCAGGACGCGATACTGGGTTGGCGTTAAGGAACTTAGATTAAGTTACCATAGTGGGTATATATACATATAGAATATATACATAGAAATACATATAGTAATTAAGAGGGTTTCCCCAATATAGTGATTTAACTCAAATTCCTTAACAGCAACCCAGGCTAGGGGGTACTTCAGAAATCTCATCAAGGCCCCTGCCGCAGGCTATCTCTTGTTTGTGCTGGCGAACACGCACGTGCGCCTACTGCGAACAAGACGATATGCGTGGCAAGTTTCGAAGGTCAGCTGCGGCGAAGAATAGACGCCATTCATACGGTATACAGGTACCTGGGTTCGCCAATAAAGCCATACCCTTGCTGCCCACCCGATATGATGCATACAAATGAACATCGAATGCCGTCGGAGCGTGCGGGATGCTAGCTTTGAGAACACTCGCCGCGTAGTTAAAGCCTCGATAATCACCTGTATTATCTTTAGGTCTCTTTTAGGTAGCCTGTGCTATAGTTATGCAAAGAACTCTAGGAAAAGAACATTGGTATTGATTAACTTAGCGCCCCTCCGCTATCCAGAAATCCTAGATGGCAATGTTGGCTGCAAGAAGAACCGAGCAGAAAGCCCTTCGCGGCAGGGATCTACACAAGAATGCTAAGAAAAAAGCACTACCTCCCTTTCTCTAAGGTTTTGGGTTTATCTACCCTGAAACTCCAAGCCTGATCTTCATGTGCCCACCTCCGTTGTGAAGCAGGATGCGCAGGTTCCCACGCACCAGGCAACCACAGGCTTCGTGATGCGGCCCTTCTTGACGGCCTGACCGAGCAGCTGCAAGAAGAGATGAGCAGCATGTTGCGGCTAGATTCTTACAGAATACCGTGCTCAGAATCCTACTCTGTTCCTACGATAAACCTCCCACCTACCCTGCATTGGGGCATGAGTACCCGGTAGTACAGACCATATGCCCCCAAAAAGGGTACTAGGACGGTCTTGGTATTGGGGACCATAGTATCCCCATCTCACATGGGGCTGCTAAGGTTTACTACTGCTCCGGCTCTAGGCATAGAGGATGATTGGAGGTGTTCAGGCTTTCCTGTTACTATTGGTTTATTTGAACCTTCCTTGAATCACCCAATGCCGCAGGATCAACAAGGCGCCTGCGCACTGAGTTTAGGGCCTCTACAACCCTGGCCCTTATAGTCCTCCTCAGGTAGATAGAATATGGGGTATATGGGGATCCTATTATAATATGCCCAAAGCCATATTCTATCTACTTAAGGGGGACTATAACCCTATCCGCGCCTCAATGAGGTCGTACTCATCCAAGCCACCCACCTCTCCCAGGAGCAGGAGCATCTTGGCCTTGGGGTCGTCCTGCAAGGCCAGATGAGTAGTGTTTTTTTGTGGTTAAACACAGTAAGATTATACTCCTTATGTAAATACTATACCCCAAAAGAGGATATAATCTTACTCTATATTGGGTGCCATAGTATCTCCAAATAAATTATTACTCGGATGCCTTATACGGTTTATAGGGTTTAGGGTAGCTGGCGCTCTAAGGTCCAGAAGCAGAGGAGCGTCAAAGGAACTTTAGGGATATACAGGGGCACCTAGGAAAAGGGTTTAAAGGTCCCAACACCCAAATGTTCGGGCATTCTGGGGATGAATTTCGGCACGCAGAAACCCTGCTTTGGGGCACTTGGAAGCTTTGGGCTCAGGGACGTACACCGTGCGAAGAACCCGTGAACATCTTCTCTGGATTAGACTAACAACGCTGATGAAAGCTGTGATATTTACTTAAATGGTGTAGTTTGTAGGCAGTCCTCTAGACCATGCATTCTAGGGCCTTCAAGGCTTGGGCTCAGGGATTTGAAGTTACGTGTTTTGAGGTTTGGCATCATAGCGTGGGCAGAGAAAAGGGGAAGTTGCGGGTCCCTGGGAAGGCCGTAAGTTCCGCTGCGCATGGGCGGAAGAGGCTTCTGGCAAAGTAATTGCTAACCCTTCCCAGAGCTTCCCATGTACTGCTTTTTTGGTAGTACCATAACCACCCGCCACAAAAAAAATAACAAACCCTTAATAAACTACATTGGAGCTCTTAGGTAAAAGGCACCCCAAATGGGTCCTGGTAGCGGAGGAAGTGGTCGAGGAAGCGGCTGCCCGGGTAACGGTCACCGCCTGGGCACGCATCCCAAAAGACATTCGGCACTACCCCCACCCAGTAACTGTCTTGCATCGGGGTATGATTAAGGGCTATGTATAATTGCAGTATAGCTATTAACCATCTGTTATTGGGTGGGGGCAGTATCCAGCATTCGTGATTTCAAGGATTGTAGAGGGATTACAAAGTCATGTCTCAGGGACTGGGATTCTGCAGGGGCTATGGGAGCTATGAAGTTTCCAAAGTAAAGGCTGCACTGTCTCTCAGATGCTAGATGGGAGCTTGCCACGATTTTCTCCAGACCACGCCACGACCAATGCCCAGGATGTGGGAACAACCCAACTCAAATCCTAAGCCTCTTGCAACTCGTAGCCCCAATCATTCTTATGTGCACGCCCTTACAGGCACAACCTCTAAGGGGAATCTATCAAAAAAAGAAGGCTAGGGATATCTGCGTACGATGATGCAGGATGCTAGGCGTTCCTGTTCGGAGTCCTATAGTGATCATATTGATGATCTTCTGAATGACTCCGGTGCAGCCAATTTCCATGGTGCTGGCCCTGAAGCATGCCAGGAAGTGGGATCCATTTACAAACCCTGGGGACCCTAGTGCCCAGATAGTGGTGCTGTAGGCCCCAAATACTAATTCTGCATGCTGTTTTGGGCACTTGGACCCTTAGGGAACTTTCGAACAATTGCAGGGTTTGGGCTGCTGGCTTAGGGAGTAGGCCTCAGGGTTTACTGCCTCAAGTCCTCGAAGCAAATGAATACGGGTGAAGCTGAAAGCTTGAGGGCCGCACCGATTGCAACACCCTCGTAGACACCGTTAGAGTTGCGGCAAACGATGTTGTTGAGCTCGTTGGACCTGATTTGGGGGGGTCCAAACATCTCAACTTCCTGGTCGGGAGTCCCTAGAATAAGGATTCTGGTGCATGGGGTGTGTATACCAGGGATATCAGGGCACTCATTTTTTTTTGGATCTATCTATTTGTTCGTGCAGCTTTAGGACTGCGGGTTAGGGTTCTAGTTTAAGGCTGGAGGAACTGGAGACGAACACCTAAACCCAAAACAGAAAATTGTCATCTCTGTATACCCGTTTACAACTGCGTATCCCTTGTTTGTCAATATGCCTTGCAACGTGACTGCACATGATAGCTCCTTCGCCTCCGGTTTTTGTCCCGAGCATGCGGCGCGGTGACCCCAATTGCACATGTGCACTTCGTGACTTTTGAGCCACGAAGCTATTCCAAGTTCCAAGAACACATAATTGAGAACTGCTGCAGATGGAGAAATATCAGGAATGACCCTATATACCTGAACTTTGGAAATCATGGTAGTAAAGTAAACCTAGGGTCATGCAGGACTGTGTCCATCAACCGTAGTAGGAACCGCCCTGCATTGCGACGGCACGCTGTGCCCAAAGCTCGCAAAGACCTCTCTACCAGCTAAACAATCACTTGTTCCTTCTTGGGACGCTATTGGAACCTACAGTTTCATGTTTTCAGGTTTAAATATAGAATGGACCAAAAATCATGTCCAACGATTCAAACATGACCCAGATCAGGTCGCAGGAACCTAAAAAAAAAAAACAAAAACAGAAAAACAAAAAAAACAAAACAACAAGCAAACACATAGCTTACAGGGTCCTGGTTTAAGCCCCTTGTATGTAGCCAACCCCTAGCGCGACATCACCCTTGAAAGCTGATAATACCTTCTCAAGAAGAGCTAGCGTTTAAGAACTTGGACCCTTAGGGTGCTACCTGACTCCAGGTGTCAAAGCAGTTGAGCCCTTGAGACAAAAATATTAACTTGCTGGTGCTCAGTAGGGAATACAGGAAGCTAATCCCTGCATAGTACCGCTATACCTTCTTCCCCACCAACCCTCGAGTAAGATGAGCAAAGCCACATGCCACCAGACTTGGAGACATAGGCCACCGATCCGGGTCGGTAGAGGCGAGACATGACAATGTTGTCCAACCTCGGAATCTCAAAAGGGTTTAGGATTTAGGGTGTAGGGTTTAGGATTTAGGGTTTAGGGTTTAGGATTTAGGGTTTAGGGTTCTTCCCTGCTAACCCCCAGCAAGGAAAAATGTAGGCCTCTCACTGTCAGGGTTCCTGCAGAGGATGCAGTGCTGGGTATCCTTAAGGATTCTCGTTTTCACGCTGAATGCAAGAACCCCCCACCTTAGGTAAGAACCCCCCACCTCAGGTGGCATGTTCAAGTGCTAGCAAATGGATCGATGCAACGTGACCTCGCCAGCGCATCAGATAGCTGTTCCAAACAACTACCCTGACCAATAAGGACCTGAGACATGTCTGAAACCTGTTGGGGAGGGTTGCGCGGTGAGTGTAATTGCCGCACCAAACCTTTGAAGTTTCCCAAATAAACGGCAGGTCTCCGGCTTATGTGGGCTTCAGACTTCATTGGATGTTCGCAGGCATGAGATGGAGAGAGTTTTTGTAACGCTGATCAGGGCTGCCATGTCTTTGCACAAGCCTGTTTCTATGGGCTTGCGATGCTGCTGTTGATGCACTCTCCTGATACCTAATAGATATGTTGATCGTGAAGGAATCGTCTTCCAAACACGCCCAGCAAAGGAGAAGAATGGCTAGGATCTTGAGACGCTCGCAACTGTAGACCCGAGCCAGCCCCATGACTCGTCCTTGCACATACTCACCTTGGAATTTTTTTTTAAAAAAAACTTTACTTTCCAGAGACCCTACGCCATGAAACCCCGTAATGTCCATCAGCCCTAAACCCTAAACCCATCCGAGGCTGCAACATTCCTCCGGTGTTGCCGATACGGAGGCATCCGGGCTTGATCCCGCCGACCGTGGCAGGGCCGATGATGCCTCGTCCATCAGGTCTTTGGCTCTAGGTGCGCCCCATATCCCAAAGATTGAAAAACTTGAGCCCATAGTGGATGTCTAAGTGCAGCGCATATACCCAAACTCCAGGAATTCAGCCCTATCCTTATTGGTTCTTAGTAGGGAATAAGGGAATACTATCTCTATGTATATGTATGTATATATATATGTATAGACATATATATATATACATACATATACATAGATATATATATATATATAGGGATTCTGTAGGGATTATATTCCCTTTTTTGGGACCTTCAACGGTGCAAGATTTCTGACATCCCTGGGCTTAGAGGCCGGAAGCCGGCTCCATCTGCCAGAGGGTTTGCTGGGATGCTGTCATGGAACTTAATTCGAGTTACCATAATACATGGGTATAGGGTTTAGGGCTTATAAGTTACCATAATATGGGTATAGGGTTTAGCCATAAGATGGGTATATAGCAAATAATAAGGTTTCCTTACTATAGTAACTTTATTCAAATTCCTTGACAGCAGCCCAGTCGAGGGTGCGGGGTTTAAATCCCAGCCCACTCCCTAAACCCTAAACCCTTTAGATCCCGGCCTACTCCCTTGGCTTCGGCAACCTTGATGATCTCCCTCGTCTGCTGCTCCGGGACACCCTGCGTCAGATGGGCCATGGTCTACACTCCTTGACATGCTTACACAGGGACTATTTTAAGGGTTCTTAGGGGGGATACTAAGAGTTTAGAGTGCAGCTCACATGGAGGTTCACATATGGGCTGTAGCTCAACATGCTTGTTCACCATGTAGCTCTGTCTATGAATCCCAAACCTTCAGCTAAAGCACGAGAAGATTTGTCAGAACCCGCCGTATCTGGCTATTTGAGGATCCCGGAGCCCTAAACGCCTAAACCCTAAACCCCTGAACCCTAAAGCCTAGTCCTTTGGAAGTCCTATTCCCCTGAGGGTCCAAGTATTCAATAATCATTTACTTGCCCAAAACCTGTACTACAATACTACTACCAAAGCCCTAAGTACCCAATTATTGGGTACATGGACCCTAAACCCTAAGTATCCCTATATATGCCCTATATATCCCCCTAAAGGGACCCAAATATTGGGTACATGGATCCTTAGGGTTCTAGAGTGTTCATGACTCATGAGTTCTTTAACGTGCCGTCCTATTCCAACAGCCAAGGTCCGGTGTAGGCCCGCTTATGAGCTCAGTGTCTGTCTATGCAGGTAGATTATGGAGAAAGCTAAGCCGTAAAGACCTGCACCTGAACTCTAAGCCCGGAAGCGTAACATCCTGCAACCCAGAACCCCAAAGAAAGCCTATTTCACTATCAACCCTATAAGCTGGGTTGCTGTTAAGGAACTTAAGCTAAGTTACTATAAAAAGGAAACCCTTATTATTCACTATATACCCATATCACTGTTACTTAAACTACTAAGTTTCCTAGCAGTGACCCAGTAAACCTCACATCCTAAGTCTCCGCCGGCTGGGAAATTTAAGGGCCTCGGCAATGATGGCGATGGTCTTGAGGTTGGAGTGGCTCATTGCCTGCATCAACAGCAAATATTCCCCCTTAAGTAGATAGAATATAGGGTTTGGGGTATGGGGTTTAGGGTTTTGGATTTAGGGTTTAGGGGTTATAACCCCCCTTAAGTAGAAAGAATATGGCTTTGGTTACATTAGAATAAGATCCCCATATACCCCATATTCTATCTACTTAAGGGGGACTATAGGTTCGCTAGGAACCCTTTGAGAGTGAGGGTGCCCTTTGTCCTTATGTTCAGATTTTAGAAGGAGACCCCAAAATGAAAAGGGAAAAACGGGTACTACCGGGGTACCTAGAGGGGATGTTGGAGACCTCAAACCGAACAAGCAATGACGCTCTAAACCCGAAACCCTACACCCTAAACTATGACTGCTATAGGACCTTGATTTTTTGGGGTTTGTGGTTACCTGATCCAAGTTCAGCAGGTAGGCAGGACAAATCACTCTCCTGACATACCCTAAGAGCCCCTGTCAAGTTTGTGATTCTGCATGGCACCTGCAACCCCTGCTCAGGCCTAGTCTGCATTCAATTGTGCATGCTCTTTTCCATTTTCTTGCCCCCAAGGTACCCAAAACCCTAAGCCCTGTAGGTCCTGCAATACTCGTACATCATCCTTATACATCTATATAATCCCCCTTAAGTAGATAGAACATGGCTTTGGGTAGTTTGTAATAAGACCCCTATATGCCCCATATTCCAGTTACTTAAGGGGGACTATAAGCCTAAACCGCGAAAAGGCTTCCCGGTCACCTCCATGGACGTCTCATGCACGGAGCGGAAAGAAGCGAAGTTGACAAAGACGGAGACGCTGGGATGCTTCTGCACGGCCTGCGAAACCCTAAGGGTCCAAGTACTCAATAATCATATACCTATCCCAAACCTGTACTATAATTACTATTAACCTAACCCCAAGTGCTTAACTGTTGGGTACATGGACCTTCTGGGGAACGGGATGATTTGGCCTACATATGAAGGAAGGGTCTTAGACATCTTTAACATGGTTAGCAAAGCAAAGGCCCCCGGGCAGGCCCTTCTGTAAATATCTAAGGATTGTAGGGGGGGATATGGGTTCGGGCTCAGGGCAAAGCTAGGCGGGGGTAGTATAGAGGGGTGGTACTGTAGTCAAGCTGGGCTGAAAGCGCGGGTTCAGGTAAAGGGTGCTCAAGGGTGATGATCTAAGTTAACCACACCCTCGACTAGCTCTTGCATTCATGATTCTGCACTTGCCAAAATCCCCTGGGAAGTGACTCCTTGTGTGCCATGAACTTCATTGCAAGCCCGACTTGCAGCAAACAAAGTTTAATCTGCGAGGAAGCATGGAGAGCCTAGACAAGGACTGACCGGCAGACTCAGCAGTACCTTGTACCATATGTGAACCCTGTACATCACTGGATACCCTCTACATATATCCCATATAACACCCACCCAAACAAGGACCACAAGTTCATCTCCAAGTGCGATACTAGGCTGAGCCAGAAGAGGCCTCCTTCGTGGTCGTGTAGACGGGCATCAAGACCTCAGCGCATTCGAATTGGAGGCTGATGCTGGTGTAGACAGGGTTGTTATCCGCAGTGCTCGAGTTCCAATAGAATCAAGTCAGTTTACAACTACGGACTGAACATAGCACAACTTTGGAGCACCCGCAAACCGCTATTCAGAATCGCAGCAGTGTCATGGGATGAAAGGCTTAAGAAAGATTGACATTCTTGGGGACCAGGGCCTTGGAGAAAGTGTTCGATGAGTCACAGCTGATGGCACAGAGCTGAGGGGCGCCGGCAGGGCGGTGCTTTGTAACAAACAGTATATAGACACGCTGAAGATCAACCACAACATCCCCCCTAAACCCTACAGTAAACCCAAAACCCTCAGGCCCAGATAAGCTTATCCTTGCTCAGGATACCCAAATTTCCTTAACTTTCAAAGTTCAAAAGTTCAAAACCCAAATGACGCCCCAAACCCCCAAATAATGGTAATATACCCACTACATTCTAGAGGCTGCAGCTTTGGGGCCACAGATTTATCCTCACCCAGCTTCCGAGGCTCTCACATTGCCTCGTAGCCTACAGAGTACTGTCTCGGGTATGGATGTATGGCTCTAGGGGTCCAAGGACCCAAATAATAGGGCTTTAGGGCCCAAATACTATAAATATGGTATTTGGGCCCCGAAACCCTATTTTGGGGGTCCTTGGACCCTAAGGGTGGTAGTTTCCATGAATAAGGGGATCCCAATAATGACCTAACAATACTATATTCTTATTACCTGGACTCGCTTGAAGGGCTCCATATGGGGAAACCTGTATACTTATATGTATATATAGAGATATCTATCTATCTATTTATCTATCTTGCTGACCATCTACATGGATTCGGACATGCAAGCCTCTAAGCCCTCGATGCTAAGCCCAAACCCGCAGCCCCCCAAACTCCGAACTCCAAAAACCCTCAACCTTGAAATCCCTTACTCCTAAAACTGAAGCACCCTAAACCCAAACCAAAAAAACACTGCCTAGTGTCCAAACCACTCCACCTGGGTCTGAGCTCTGGGCTTCCTCAGTACCCCAGTAGAACTTGACCTCAGCAGAGTTGTAGCAAAGCGCGTGATACAGGGTCCAAAATTCGGGTCCACAGGGATCTTATAGGGTTTCGGGTGCACCCAAAGGCTCCGATGTAGTTGTTGTTTTGGTTTGTTATGGTTTTCTGCAAGGGACTATAATATACAACCCCCAAAAAACCACATAGGAGGGTCTGGGATATTGCACAATCAAGCGCGGATGAACCGGAACTCAAAATGGAAGCTGGGATTATAGAGTGTTTATCAGGATTAAAGTCTCCTGCACATTCGGAATCTCTTTTTAGGTAATCCATATGGGGTTCCCCTCATTGTTGAAAACCCCCACCAAGGATTCCTCTTGTTTCAGCTACGCCTCGGTGTCAGCCAAATATGAGGGTGGTTGCCTAACATTAAGGGTACCTTCTGGGGGGCTCCCATAATAAGGATTATAGCATTTGGGGGTCGATATTGGGGTCCCCCCTTGTTTTGGGAAAGTACCACATATCTCTTCCAAACCATCAAGTCGCAGCCAAGAGTCGTAGTGATTGCCTCAGCCGTGGGGGTTTGGGGTTGAGGGTGTAGGGTTATAGGGTTTTGGCCAACTGCCCTCAGCATGCAAAAACGGGAACCTCAGCTTCCTAGAAATAAGGTGGAACTGAGTACTGGGGGAACGGGCTCCTAGCTCAGGTGTGTGCTCACAGCTGACCTCAATGTGCGCCAAACGTTCTAGACCGTTTCAAGTGGTTTCCATTCTGCTGCTCCCAGCTATCAGCGTGCAGGATAGCGATTTGATTTTAATGTAAAAAATCGGCATGGGCCAATTTCCACATCGCGGTTTCAAATATTCAGGTGCCAAATTTATTATCCCTGCATACTACAACAGGTAGGTAGAGTAGGGACCCCCACAGTGCACACGGAAATCCAAGCTTTAAAGCCTCTAAATCTTAAACCTCACACCCTGATCCTCATATACCACTACAGGTATTTCTCCCACAGGCCGCTTCAAGAGGGCCCCTCACCCTAAACCTTAGTTCCATAAACACTCTGACTGCTTCACTCAGACCCTCCTATCAAAAAACATAACATCCCTGAAAAGGAGCTACATTGGAGCCCTTGGTGAAACCAGAATGTCCTGAACCCTAAACCAAAACCCTAAACTCTAAGCCCAAAACCCAACCCCCCCCCCTCCCTCCCCCCTCACAAAAAAAATAAAAATAAACCCTGTGACCGCTTCAGAGGGATAGCCGAGGGACCGGAGAACGGGAAGATCATGGCTTCCACAGAGGGCTTCTTTCCTTGCATAGGCGGATGTGGGCGGAGTGTAGCCCGAAGTGGGGTTTTCCCCAAAACTAGGTGTATGTTTTTAGGGGTCCCCATAATGAGGACTATGGTATTTGGGCGTCTATATTGGGGTCCCCCTATTCAGGGAAACTGCCAAGTAATGAGAATAGTCTTCGGGTATATAATACTATAGGTATGAGGATGATGATGATGATGATGAGGGAATAATGTTGGTAAATAGTTCATTCGACCGCTACAGTAAGGACAGCTGCCCCTACACTCAAAGCTAGAATTTCCAAACTCGAAGTGTGGTATGCCCCAACACCCCGAATCCAACAGGCCGGACTAGTTTTTCCGACAAGCCTTGCAGGTGTCTACTAAGAAATGCGCCCTCAAAAATTCTAAGAGGACCCGGAGAAGTTTATAGCTATGAACCCCAAAGTGCAAGGTGGCCAAGTTTCGCTTGCACATGAAGTCGAAGTCCAGCATACCTTTGAGGTTTTGTTTCAAAGCTGGGTGGGGTACTCTTGGAATTCCAGAACCTCTTGTATCGAGAGTGGATTGTAAGGTCGGCATTCAAGATTTGGCTGGGATCGTCTGAGTAACTTCCAGATTGAAGGAAGAAGCCAAAGGGGACAGACAGCGGAATCTGGGGGGGCAGGGGTAGGGTGCGAGTTGTGAAACTTGTTCCCCTGCAATCACAACTCGTTAGCTCGAGCACTGCAACTTGAATCACACCAGTATGTCCGGATTGAGACACAGCACCCATGCCCGAAAGTCCTAGTGCAAGGTTCCGTTCTCCCGGCCAGAAACGGAGATATCTCAAGAGATGCCCGGGTAGTTATGTAGAAAGTTTCACCCTGCCAACGGCTCAAAGAGGTCCACAGGTGCTGGGAATCTGAAAACACTTCTAAATGCGGATCTTTTCAAAGCTCAGGGCAAGCGTATAAAGAGTTCCATAGAAGGCCCCAAATTTGCGAGGCCCATCGAAACCCTAGGCGTAGACCCTGAAGCTTCAGACCTGTTCCCCATGGATCTGGACACCGCAGCAAGACTGCATCAAGTTTTACACCGCCAGAACTGGACACAGTACCCCGGCATGCATGCACCATGTTATAGGCTTCCAGACAAACTGTTCTTATACGCGGTTTAGGGTGTACAAGGTTTCGTCTTTAGCGTTTAGGGACCCGTAACTCCTGCTAACTTCAGGAGATCCCAGTGTGCCCAGTGACCCTGGACGGCTCGATTCTGCATGCCGTACACGATGCAGGTGGTCTCCGGCCTGAATGCAAGATGAAGCTCCCACTGACTAATCCGCTTCCCCGAATAACACACACGCACAATAGTAGAGGATCAAACGGATCGTGCATAGGGGTATGTAGGAATGTTTCGGGTCTAGGTTGATGGTCGCGGACCCATCCCCAAACTAAAATGTAAGGTGCAAAGGGGCAAGCTGTAGACTTCTGTCTTTTCAAGAGGGGCTATATTGGGGTCCATGCTGGTTTGGGGAGGGTTGTGCAATAGTGGAGACTCAAGTTCAGATGAAATGGAAAGTGGATGATACGGAGTTACCTCCCCATAATAAGAGAAAATCAACACGTAAACAAAAACAGCACACCATACGACTGCTATAGAACAATGATTTATCAGGGGGTTGAGCATGCATGAAACATGGTCATGGTGCTAGTTAGGCTAGGGCGGGTCAAACAAAGTCTTCGTGCATGGAATGCTGACGATCAGTCAGTAAAGGACCACGAGAGGTCACAGTCTCCCTTAAGTAGATAAAATATGGCTTTGGGTGAATTCTAGTCAGATCCCCATATACCCCATGTTCTATCTACTTAACGGGGACCGTAGGTGCTTGCATCGCACCTTGAAAGGGCTCTAGTTGACATTACCCTTAGACACCCATCAGCTTGCCTGGCAGCAACGATTAGCACATTGCAAATGCAATCCATATAGGAACAGTTAGTGTTATGATTACAATTAGATCTGCTTATGTGGCTCTATTACTAGAAACGTGCGGATCTACGGCATTTCTAGGTGTGGGTGCCAAAAGAGCCACCTTCAGATCCCCAAACAACTGGCACCCTAAACCCCGCCAAGATCCCTGCGTGGCGGTCACGAGAGTGTGCTTGGTGCCTAGGCTTCAGGTTTTTAGGTTTGGGGTCTAAGGCCTTGGGGTTTAGGGGTCAAGGGGTTAGGGTTCAGGTTTAGGGGTTAGGGTTTGGGGTCTAAGGGTTAGCGTCTAGGGCTGAGTACAAAGCATCCAGGATAAGGCTGTCACCCAACTTCAACAGACTTGCATTGCGCTGCCAATTAAAATGCACATCAGCCTCAAGGTGCGTGGGAGGGATGGGGTGGAGGGATTGGGGCTTACTGCCATGACCCTAGAGAATACCACTGTGAATACCGTACTCGCTAGTTTGGATTAGAAAAAACCCGTGAATCCTGACAGCCACCCATAGACTTCCTCATTTTGTCCTCCTCCTACCACATAGTAGAAGAAGTAATTAGTGCTACCACTTCTCCTCCTCCTCCCCGTCTGCTCCTAAACCACTGGTACGCACAAACCCCCAACCTCCAATCCTCCTCCTCCTCCTCCTGCAGCTGCTCACCTACTACCAGGCTCCTTGGAAAGCCGCCATTCAGAAATTCGCCCTCTGAGCTGTAGGCCGGCTGGAGGGGCTGGGTGACCCTTGGGAGTCGGCCTTGGCAAAGCCGGGGGGGGCTCTACCAAATAAAATGGACAACACATGGATTATCGGGGTTATATAGGTGTTATATAGGGGTTGTATAGGGAAATTATAGGGGATACATGGGGAGCATGGAAAAGAATATGGAAGCTACGGTTTAGGTTTTAGGGCTTAAGGGCTAGGAGTCTAGGGTTTCTTTGGAGGTGCATAGGACTCAGTAGTACTTTAAGTGGGTTGCGACACTCCTTGTAACCACACTAGCTAGCTTTCTCCAGGTTAACACAATTATAAACTCGGTTATAATACAGTAATAGGTACATTGATTACGTTCCGCTTCAGGCTTCTGGTCTGGAATCTAGGACTAGACTTCAAAGTCCTAGAAGCTAAGAGTACGAGAGCAGGGCTCATAAGATGTGGGTCATTGTGAGTCTTTGGAAAAGTCGAATAGAATCTGTTCAACGTATTCTGTGAAATCATCAGACCGCACACTTAACAAGAGGACGAGGAAGGATGGACTTTCGGACTTTTGATTCCACGCGGACGGTGTCACAACCCCCTAAGGGCTGTGCTTCTTGCCCTTCATGTCGACAAGCGGACGGACCTGGCGGAAAATGTGCTTCAAGATGGGGGGGGGAGGGGGGGGCTCCACCAACCTCCTACACTCCTCTCTTTCAGTGAGGTTTAGGGTTTAGAGTTTAGGACTTGTAGAGGTCCTTGTTGGAATGTGATTAAGACAATCACACTCTCCCTTCATGGGATCAAGACTTCAAATCCTCAAGGTGCGAGTTGGTTTGATCTTAATGCTGGCGGCCTTGTGTGGTCTACTCTCGTTGCGACGTTGAGAGGGTCAGCACGTACTTGCAGCGCACTTATGATACAGGTCCAATGTTCAATGCATTGACTCCTGGTGGACAAACTTACATATGCTGTGAAGGATGGGCAAGGTTGGGTCTAGTTAGTCACCAGGTAGGCCTTTGAAGGATTTGGTTTGGTGCAAGCAGAATCCTAGACCTGGACCTTAGGAAGGGTTGCAAAACAACCTTTGGCGCTTTCACCAAGGCCCATACATCTGAGGGTATCTAACGCCCATGCTTTCTACACAACTGCTTGCCATGCATTAGAGACAGCCTTATGGAACTTGTGGGTCTTTTGGGTGCTTTTGGAACTAGGTGGTCTCTTGTGTCTGCGGAACAAATTCCAAGACCCCGCATCATTCTCACATCAACCCCAGACCCTAAACCCCAAACCTCTAAACTGCTAAACCCCTATCATCTGCTGCGAAAAGCACCTACCCAAACTTTGCACCACATTGCCTCAAATTTACAATTCAAGCCCTGAATCCTAAACTATATAAACGCGACTCCCTAGACGGGACAGCCCCCCAAAAAAGAGCCCCCGATTTCCCCTATGCAAGTCCTCGGCCATAAGCACTAAACCCTGAACCCTAAACCTTGAACCCTAAACCCTGAACGCTGAATCTCAAGGGTTCCAGGATTGTACCCCTAAGGTCATACCCCTAAAAGGTTTCCCCAAGATGGCCTTAATATCGCCCTTATGTGGGCCAATGTAGTCCTGTAGGGTCCCTGAAAAAAGGATCCCAAAACCAAGGGGTACTTCAAGCCTGAAACCCTTGAGAATCCTAAACTCCGAATCCTAAACCCTATAAACCCTGAACCATAAACCCTGAACCTCAAAGTTTCCAAGATTGTACCCCCTAGTACCCCTAAGGTCGTACCCCCTGAACCCTATAAACCCTGAACCCTTAACCCTAAGGCCCGAAGAAAGCTCAGCCCCCGGCTGGGGGTCCGCAGGGTGCCGAAAGGTCGGGCTCCGGGAGAGGCTGGATGAGGCCCAAGGCCTTGCTGCTTCTTCAGGTCAGATTATACTAAGATTAGAGTATATTATAAATACATTAGAAATATGTTTTAAGTATATTATGACCAGAATAGAAATATGTGATAAGTATACGTAAGTATACTATATGAATGTCATATTATAGCATATTCTAGAATAATAGTACATCTACTTTCTCTTCGGGTCCACGCGCCAAACATATGAGCTATAAAGGGGCCTTGGGATACAAAGAGCAGAACGACAAACGCCAAATCCCGCAAACGTGTGCCTCCTGAACATCCTTAGAGCAGAGTGCAGGGCACTTCTATACTCCCAAGGCCCAGCATCTAAGCTCAACCCAATTCCTCGCGTACATCACTGTAAATGGCCAGCGCGCTGTCTGGCCGGACAAAAGTCCAGAGCAGGCTACCTCCATTGAGGAGGCTTATAACCTGTACCACCTCAAACTCCCAAATCCTAAGCTCTTCATCCCAAAGCCTGAACCCTGAAGCCCATATCATCCTAAAGCCCCAGCAAGAAGTACATGAAAGCTGTGTAGACTTGAAAAACATGAGACCTTGGGCGCCGACCATTGGGATGACAGCGGTGATGTGAGTCTCTGGCCCATAGACCTTAGGTTTAGGGTTTAGGGTATGGGTGGATTAGGGTTTAGGGTTGGGGTTTAGGGTATAGGGTTTGGGGTTTAGGGTTTGTGATCTAGGTTTTCGTGGGGTTTACAGGTTTTGGTGTTTAGGGTTTGGGGTTAATTAAGGCTTTGGGCTATGGGGCCAAGGAGTCGATTTGAGGGTCTTTGCACTCACTCTGCTTCAAATATCATTCCGAAGCCTGAAATAGGAGGTGTACCCAGATGCGGGGGACCTTAGGGATCAACTCCTTGATTCCTACCCACCCCTAGCCCTAAGGCTCCAAGTACCTAAGAATCATATACTTATCCAAAGCCTGTACCGTAATGACTATTACTGAAAACCCAAGTACCTAATCATTGGGTACTCGGACCCTCTGGGTAGGCCCCCTAGCATGGGAAAGCAACCATGAAGTACGGAGGGCACAGGGCCTGCAATCTCTCAACTTGCAACTTAATTCCAAGTCCCTGCTCCTTGTGTGAGCTATAGGCTAATATCCTAGTATCCCCTTTTAGAACCCCTCTACTAGTCCCCTATACAATCCCCTATATAACTCTGTTTAAGGAGTTCACTTACACTTTAGCTCACGGGCTCTTCTTACGCTGGAAGCCCTCGTGCCGGGCAGACGCCTTTGTTGAGACTTGTCTACGTGGGAGTTTCCTACAATTAGGGGCCCCTTCTTGGGAATCACAATACCACCGGCTGCTACCGTAGCGGTGATCATGGCACCGGGAACCTTCAAAACATAGGGATTTGAGGACCCTAGACCTTCCTGTTGAGGTACCGGACCCTGTATTCAAGTGAAGGTACCATGAACCCTTGTGTAGTGATTGTAATATTTTGGGGTCGTTTGAATGGAGCGTCCTGTTGATGGAAACCCCCGCATGGATGGCACCATTGGTCCTCAAACAAGATTAAATTGTAAGACTAAGCATTCAGGCAAAGAGCCCCAGGATCGCAGCTGCATAGACTTAGACCTCTGACATGAGCCAATGAGAGGTACAGTACAGATGCTGAACAATTTGCTATTCTCTTCGGCGGCGGACTTTGTCCTTCCATAAACCCCATTCAGAAAGGACGCAAAGCTCGCCCCGGAGGCTCTTCAACAATCAAGCTTCCACTATCAGCATACCATGAAATAAAAATATGGATGACTGTGGGGCAGATTGGGCAATCAGAATGCGGTGCAACAACCTTCCATATAAAAGTTGTGAACACTGCAGTGTACTGTACCTCGAACTCCCGTTCTTTAGCCTGCCCACACACGCTTGCAAAACAGATGAGCCATTGTCTAAACTCCTAGTATCCCCCTTTATAACCCTTATGGTAGTCCCCTATATAATCCCCTATCTAGCCCCCTTTTATGAGTTTAGATTATGGGTCATATTGTGTATAGGGGTTTTTGAGGAGACCATACGGATTGTATGGTTAAGATTCGGGGCTGCCAAATCAGAAAATATAGGTGCAACCAAAAGCCCAAGGACTCTCCTGAATGACTCGCGTGGTGGCTTTGATTTCCTTTTATGAGTCTTCTGTTAGAATGACCATGTTTTCAGGCGAGTATGGGGGGAAGTGCATTGTAAAATCTGTTTAGGCAAGCTACCATTTTCTGACTACATCTGAGCCTTTGTCCAAACTCCTAGTAGCCCCCCTTTGTAACCCTTATAATACTCCCCCACATAACCCCCTGTATACCACCCCTAGAAGGAGTTTAGACTATGGCTCATCTGGAGCGCCACAAACCCCTTGTTTAGAAGCACCCTATAAGACCTCTAGAACCCACTATAGTAGTTTCCGTGTTCTTTTCCATTATCCCTATATAACCCCAACATAAGATAATCCCTATAGTACCCCTATATAACCCCCAACCCTGAATCCTCAACCGTAAACCCTATATGAGCTCTAGTCTAAACTCCTAGTATCCCCCTTAATATGCCCTATAGTACTCCCCTATATAATCCCCTATATATACCCCTTTAAGGAGTTTAGACTATGGCTCATATAACCCCCCTACTGTACATAACCCCTAAACCCTTTCTTCTGTGTCTGCTTGGGAGAGCATAAGACTCCAGGGCCAGGCACGATTGGCGCTCAGCTAACCTTCGCCCTTAGATCATGGGTTCCTCTAAGGTTTAGGGTTCAGGGTTTGGGATTCAAGGTTTTGGGTTGAGCCCCGCCCCCCCCAGGTTCCCTCCTTAATCAAAACTAGCTTAGGGAGAATTAGGCCGAAGGCTAATTAGGGGAGCAACCGAGAGCGCCAAAGACAGCTTAACCCAAAATCTCCCAACGAGGACTTCCACGGTTTAGGGTTTAGGGTTTAGGTTCTTCTTGAGGGGTCAGTATACTAGTCCCTACCCACAATCCATAGCAAAGGTAACGCCTTAATGCCAAGCACGCACCGCTTTGCCCCAAACCCTTTTCCTAGGGCTCCCCTCTCTTGAAGAGAGGTATGACTTTTGGGCCTAATGTAGGTACTCTTTGTAGTCTTAGACCCCCAGGGAAATCATCGAATTCTATCACTATATCTGTAACCCCCTTTGAAGGGACCTGGGGGCTCCACTCTTTACCCGAACCTTCCACTAGACCCTAAACCCCTAAACCTCCAAACCCCTAAAACCCTAAAACCCTAAACCCCCAAACCCCTAAAACCCTAAACCTTTCCACTTCCATCCCGACCTTGAAGAGCTGGGTCTAGCAGCTGGCTGGCGCCTGCCTCGGGCTTACTTGGAGGATTTTTGACGTAGTGAGTCTGCTTAGTAACTGCCTGGACCCCAAAAATCTGTAAAATGAGGGCATTTATGGCTGTTATTATTTGTTGAGGGCTATTACTTTACATACTTGTGGGGTTTAGGTAGGGTTATGGGGCTTATCATACGGGGTTATTGGGGTAGTGGGTGCTGAAGTGAGTGGGTGGCATGTACATACACCCTACCCAAACCCTCCTATGTAGTTCCTTTTTGGGGCTGTATATTATATGACCCCCTTAAACCCTAAACCCTAA